TGAACATTTACAATTCATAAACAAATATTATGGCAAGCCCTTTTGCTCTTTATTCGGAAAATAAAATCTATCTTAAAATTACAGAGATATCTCTCATTTTAGAGAGATATCTCTTGAAAAATAGAGATATCTCCCAGCTTAAAGAGATATCTCTCATTTTTAAGATTTATGTCTTTGAAAAAGAGATATCTCTTGAACTTGGATAGATATCTCTTAGAGAGATACATGTATCTCACTTTATTAGAGAGATATCTCTTCCACTTAAAAAGATATCTCTTTCGTGAAAAGAGATATTTCTAAACATTAAAGAGATATATCTTTCACCTAGAGAGATATCTCATTTCACGAAAAAGATATCTTTCCAAGTTAAAGAGATATCTCTTAAAGTGAAATAGTTATCTCTCTTAATTTATCTTAAGAGAAATCTCTCAAAGTGAAAGAGATATCTTTCAAAAGTGTTTAAAAGAGATATCTCTCAAGCAAAAAGAGATATCTCTTTAGTGCAAAGAGATATCTCTCTTTGTTATTTTTTATTTAAATTCCATTTATATTGACTTCTCCCTTTACCGGAAGTAAGCTTTTTATTGACGGAAGTACATTAAATTAAGTATTTTTAAATTCGACATATTCATGATATTTCTCATTATACCTTTACTAAATATCACAATTAAATCAGTTTTATCTAGGATACAAATGAGAAATAGTTGATTATTTCATAAGCTGAGAAAGTTTGGTCCATTGCATTTGAGATTATATAAATGCTTACTTTCGTGTTTCTGAATATTAAACTTTTAGCATTTTAATCAACGAAGTTGCCTTTATTATTTTGTTATTTCAAGTAAGGGATTAATAGCATTTTTGTCTACACAGTACAATTATTATTTTTGGTAATTGCTTGCTCAGTCTTTTTCCTTACAACATCGAAATTATTTCAGAGACTTTACTTCCTGTTTCGCTTTCGTTTTAAAGAGGAGAATTAATTATTTATATTGAGGATCACTGGAAAAGAGATATCTCTTTCAATAAAAGAGATATGATATCTCTTTAGCGTTTAAAGATATCTCTTTTTGAAAATCTAAAGAGATATCTCTCTAACTAAGAAAGATATCTCTTTTAATCTTGTTAAAGAGACATCTCCCTAATTTTAAGAGTTATCTCTCGCGCTTAAATAGATATCTCTCTAGCTTATAAAGTCTCTCTTACAAATCTCTCTTACAAAAAGAGATATCTTTTTTGTTTAAAGAGATATCTCTTTAAGGTAGATATCTTTTTTGGTCAAAGAGATATCTCTATAAGCTATAGAGATATCTCTCTTATTGAAAGAAAATTTTTATTACACGAATAAATAGTAAAATGGCTTGCTATAAAATATTCCAATCTTCTAAGAAAAATAAAAAGTTTAAAAGCATTTAAATGTTCAAAGTGGAAAACAACAGTTTACAAGAGCAGGGTCCTACAGCAAGAAATATTTACATGCATAATAAAAGCACGGATAACGTACAAAGAAACTGAAAAGTCGATCTACTCTAGAATAAATTCAGTCTTCGGTTATTTTCGAATTAATTAATTCAACGAGAGAAGAAAGGCAATTATCAATATCAAATTAACTTCTGGCAAATTGCCAACTTCCGTTTCAAAGCAAAGTAGACGTGAGGAACTCGATACGGTATAAATAAACTTCTAATTCCAAGCTCTGATTTTACATAACAAGCACAGGGATTCCCCTTGGCAAAAAACGCAAAAATCTTCGTCATTAACCGACAATAAATTATTGGGAATTGGCGTAAATCCATAGGTTGGCTCCAAATAAACGAAAGTTACAACCCATTCGGGAACTCTCTCTTTCGTGTAGTAAATGGTGAATATTGTTGTTTTATTAAACACGTTGGTATTACAACTTTTTTTCCTTTGCATACTCAGGGGACAATGCAAGAATACTGTGCCAAGACATCGGATAAGGGAGAAAAAGTAATAATAGTGGTACACGACTTTAGATTCTGGACGTGAGATATCTATTATGGAAAACAATGCGGTTATTTGTCTAAATCACTGTAAAAAAAATTACACCAAAAATGAATAAATAAAAAAAAACTTTGAAACGAGACGAAATCATACGTAATATCCTCCATCAAGTTAAAAAATACCATTCAATTTTTTCGTTGTGAGAAATCCTTAGTTTTTACTTTTGTTATGAAAACTCAACTGCTTTATTGGACTTTTGAACTTGAGTACTGTATTATCTCCATAAATTTCATTTGTATGTAAAATCGATTTTTTTTATCTATTCTTTTTTTTAAAATGTGCAAAGACAATATATTTTTTCATTCCCTTGCAAAGAAGTTAGTTGTGAGTGTGCATGGGGTGAACGCCTGCGTAATAGAAATGACGTCATTTACCTCTGAATCTTGTAAGAAATGTAAAAATTACAAACAAATTAAACAAAAAAATCTAATTAAATGTACGAGTAGATCAAATACTGTTAACAATTAAAGTTTTTTCTAATTGAATCAACTAAAGATTAAGCATTTTCGTTTCAGCGTAAATGTTTTAGGGAGTCAGAGGTCATCACCTGACAAATACAAAGCACAGTGATAGTACAATTCTCAATTAACCTTGTACTTTCAGTAAGGCGTGGTGTTTTCGACGTTTCATGTTGAAATATACTGTTGAAATATACATTCCGGCGAATGTCAACGAGTGTATGACTGATGCAATGACAGGGTTTCATACGGCAGATAGGTGGGGCTCATCGTTGTCAACAACAATTTAAAGTTGCTAATGTTATTAATTTCTTCACCAATGAGAATCTATTCGCCATTTGAGAGACGTTAATAACATAGTGTCGAGAAAGTCACGCCCTACTGAAAGTCCAAGGTTAAATTGAATCGTACTATTCCAGTCATAAATAATTATTGTATATAGAATGAATTATAACATTACTGTATAATTATATAACGTGTACATTTTCGATAGTTTCATGGAACAGATTGGAACTCGGATTGTTCTTGTCGAAAGTCAGAACTTTCAAAATCAAACTAACCTTGATGTACAAACATTCTTCAAACTGACCTGTATTGGTCACTACAACCATAGACCTGTATGATTCAAGACCCACTTGACCAGGAAAGATGAATCTTTGCAAGTGAAAGCTTCTTTAATACATGTACACATGACAATTATTTCATTATCCGGTAAAGGGCGGGGCCACAACAGGTTGTCAAATAAGTTTTACGTAAATCTGTTCTCGGTTCATGGCCTTGCCCCCCCCCCCAGGTGGGCCTTGTGGCCCATAAGACTCTTGTTCACTCTGACTTAGGATACATTATATATACTATATGTCTCCTTTTAGCGGATGAAATGGCGAGTTATGACCAGAGTTAAATTAGATTTGGATAATCTTTGTTTTTTCTAGAGAAATAATTTCCCAACATTTCCTAACATTAGATCTCATATTTTTCTTGAGACTCTTATTGTACTGATGAATAAGTTTTGAGCAAAGAGGAAACGAATAAAATACTCCTATTCGATGATGTCTCCATCTTCATCATCAAACTTTTTGTCAATACGTCAGCCCAGAAAACGAGCGTGATATATCGTTATTTTATTGACAATTAATTGACAGTATATTCACCCAGTGCACCATCAGATGCTGTGTACATACGCATTTATCCTGGTAGCTCATTAATTCATCATCATTTATTTTTTTATACAGATACCAGCAATACACTACGTTGGTCAGCTTAGCACTGAGGAGAGGAATATGTGACAGTGGTTAAATGTGGAATTTGTAGCATATCCAGTAATAGATTCTGAAGTTTTGTCGATAAAAGAGCGAGCGACTTAGCTCAGAAAACACCATATGTTACCGCGGAAGCTGAGAATAATTTTATGTTACTATACTAAGTGTGTGTGTAGCTTCCCGCCAAAAAAGACGATCGTCTGGAAAAACAAGAAACTCGCGGTTGTGACAGAATTGCGTGCAATAACCTCTTAAGTAAGGATTGTTCACTATGATCTGATAAAAAGAATATGTCTCCCGACTATTGTGTACGTTTCAAATACTTCCAAAATCTCGAATCATCAGGAAAATTCAGCGCCTTCACTTCCAATTCCAATCCTGGCTGAGATTTGTATTTTCTACATGGAATTCCTTTAAAACTTGTTCCGTTTAATGGACATTTGCTGATGACCTGGCTGTTTTTAGTGTCATATTTTGTTGTCTCCTTCTCCAAGTCATCGGCCTACACTGTCTGCTGAACTAGCACCGACCAGGACCAGGATTTACTTTGTTTTACGATTACTTGTGGATAAAAGATAGTCGTTCCTATTTTAATCAGAGTATTACCCAATACGCCCTGGACGCATCAAATATGATAACTATGCTAAACAAATAGCAGCGGAATGCATAACAAATAATCAGGAAAAAGAAACGAATATTTGCTCTAATTGCAGATGTCTATCACGGTGACAGCACGCAAGCGCGCTAGTGATTCTGGTGTTTCAGTGAAATATACACCTTGTGCAAAAGCAGACGACAACACAGACGAGGAAAACGCGGAAGAGGAATTAACTGTAATAAACAAAGAGAAAAAACCGTTACCGAACGATGATCACAAAAACGAAAAGATGGCCAACCAGACTGCAAATGGACCACGCCATCTTCCATCAAACTCTGCTGTCGTTAATTCCTCGGCTCCTCATTCTAGGTGGCGTATCGTGGGGGATCGAATGAGCTCCTCCAGCCTGACCGGTAGAATCAGTTTATCTTCGCCAGCCTATTCCAATAGAACTGTGGAGCAGAAATCAAGGTCTACGTCCAAAAACAGTCTGCTGGATCTTTTCGGCACGCGGTTAGACAGGAAGACTCGTTCAAAAAGTTTTGCCGCTCGCGGTGACCTACAACTGCTGAAAAAAGTTCGCTCAGGGGATATAATCACACCGCGGGAACTACGAAAACAGCGGAAGAAAGACATAGAAGAGAAATTCGGCAAAAAGAGCCATCGAACTGATAAATTCGAAACTCTTACAAATTCATCTGATCGTGACGGATGTAACTGGACCTTTGTGTTTGATCCTTCCGGTCGCCTTGCCTATTGGTGGTCGTCCATCGTCAGTATTGCGTTTCTGTACAATTTTTGGGTGATAATTTATCGTTTTGCTTTCCGCGAAGTGGACAGTGACAGCTTAGCGATGTGGTTCACGCTTGATTACACGGCGGATTTACTTTATATTTTAGATGTAGCCTTCCACTTCCGGACCGGGTATCTGGAAGACGGTGTGTTACAGACAGACACGACCAAACTCCGTTTACATTACACAAATAGTACTATCTTTTACATTGATTGTTTATGCCTGTTACCGTTAGACTTTCTTTATCTCTCCATTGGAATTTGCTCAATTTTACGTTGTTTTCGACTTGTTAAGGTTTATAGATTCTGGACGTTTTTAGACCGAACTGAACGTCATACAAATTACCCAAACCTCATGAGGACAGCAACCTTAATGCATTACTTGTTGGCTCTGTTTCACTGGAACGCTTGTTTGTATTCTATTGTTGCAACGAAACTTGACCCAGATTCCAGAACATGGGAGATTCCGAAAGATTCCGATGACGTATTTAGGACATATTTACAGGGGCTATACTGGAGCACCTTAACACTGACTACGATTGGCAATTTGCCAAATCCAGCAACCAATCAGCAATACTGTTTCATTATATTTGAAATGATTTTTGGGCTTCTTCTTTTTGCTACCGTTTTGGGACATATTGCCAATATTGTAACCAACATCAGTGCTGCCAGAAAAGACTTCCAAGGTATGTTCTTTTATTTTATGATCATTAGTATAACCATCATCTTCATCATCATCATCTTCATTATCATTGACATCATCGTCATCATAAAGCTCATCGTCATCATTACTGTGACATCATATCATTTTCATAAAACATCATCAATAACAAATTTATACTTTCATGAACCGTTTCTCCTTTTTATTACAAATTAATATATAGACAAAAAAGGATACTTCCTTGTATTAATATTCGCTGATATGAACCCAAAACATATTAATCTGAAAATTAAGACTCAGTTTCATCAATACAAAGTTTGAAGTCCCGTCTTTCTACTTCCTCAAACATCATGCATTACCATTTGTATTGAGACTTAACGACTCTCAAATGATTTAGTTCATTTTTAATACAAATACAATTCTGAATTCATTGATTTCCAAGCCGTTGTCATTTAGATATTATAAATGAAATCAGTCATCGACCCGAAGGTCTCCAAGCCGTTTGAACCTTGAGGAAAAAATATTTGAAAAATAATGAAAGGGGATTAACTAGAAACCTCTAAGGATGCTTCAATATCTTTGTACAGAAAACATCCCACAAAATTCACATCCCCTGAACAGATACAAAGAAAAATGAACCAGTTGTTTTCCATCTTCCAAAAAATAATATAATGCAGGTCCAAAGAAGGTTATATTTTCCTGGGACTATACAAGATACTGTGTGAATTTCAGTTAAATATAACCCCAAATGTGCTCACTGACGTTTCACAAAATCTTATGATGCAATGAAAGCTGCATCTTGATACAATTTATCTATCATTAATCACACGCATTACTTAAATTGCATCTGCGACTCGGATGTTTGATAACAGAATTAGGCTGATAAGAATTCAATCAGTTAGAAATTTTTTAAAAAGTTAATGGTAGTACATAAAAAAAGATTTTAAATAAAGAAAGAAAAATACTGAAAAGGATGGTACACAACCAAAAATTCAAAGTAGAGTTTAAATCCATAATTATGACAGGCTTTCCAATATTGGAGGGAAAACTATAAGGAAAAATATGGCCAACACCTTCTCCCTTTCATATGGATTTCTTTATTTTAGTGTTTTTTTTACAACTATATTGAAGAGGATGCATTATTAATTCTATATGAGAAAAATGATATAAAATAACAAAAGGTTTACAGGTTTAAAATCAAAATCATGTAAACGTTTGTAAAAAACGTATTCGAATGGTCCACTACCATATTATTGCTACGATTATGGAAGATTACACACTGCTTTTTATCAGGAATTTTACATCACAGGCGATCTTGACTTGCTGTTAAAGATAAACAAGCGTCTAACGAGCAGCCATTTCCAATAAAAGTCTAAATATAGAAGCAATTCCGTTCCATTTTAGCGACAGAACAGCAAATGTATTTCCGGAATTTATCTTGGGTGTTTGTGTAATAAGAATGCAAATACGCGGGAATAGAAGGGCATCTTCTGCTTTGAGCGATAATGCACTACATTTAATTCCTCTCTCTGGCCGATGTTTTACCCTTACTTCTGGTCCCGTCGATTCGTTGGACCACTGTATCAGTGTATGCCAAAGATAATGAAGTCTTAATTCGAATTGTACTCGGGATAGTTCAAAATATCGATCCCGATCTCTCAGATTTAGATAGAAACGAGGGCGATAAGAATGAATAATATCAGAGAAAGAAAGATTGCAATAAAAATTCTTTATTTGTATTTTTGCGATGATTATCGTTTTTTAATATTTAATGTTTTTGTTAAGCAGTGATCAGGTTTTGACATTCACGTCAATTTCTCAAGAGGACGTCCGTCTATTGCTTGATGAATTTTTTATCATTATTCATTGTATAAAAGGATTGCTTTTTTTTTATTATTGGTAGTAGTAAAAAGCTATAAGTACATTGAATAAAATAAAGGAAGTGGATCAAAGGGAAGTTGATTCTGGGAATACGTCATCTAGTATGACAGTCATGACGTAAAAGTTGTCCGTAAGTTAAGGAGCCAGAGGTCCTGAACCATCCATTTCCTCCGGTTCAGCTTCTACAATCAGATAGCAGTACGTAAGGCCCTATAAACAAAACACCCAAAGTCAATACGCAAGGTACACGTACATTCAAGCTATGAAAAGTACTCTATTTTCTTTCTTTTTTTTTTTCATTTTCAGTGTATTTTCGAATAAGTAAGTTGTTGCAAATGCCTGGCAAGATGCTCTATACTCTTGGTTTTCTGTATTTGCCGGTTTACAAACATGACTTTGTTTTTTACTATGGTGGAAGATGACAGGTTTTTTTAGCGTTTGGCTGACGTTTTCCTTAATATTGAGCTGTTGTAAAATGTCTATTGGAAAATGTTTAATTCTCTCTACATGTTACAATAGTATGGTCTAGTCCCTTGAGGAATCTGAAGCTTTTAGAGAACAAAAGGTGTAGAAATTACACAATGAACCCAAATGATGGTACAGGAGCAATGTAAAAAATTCATGAAAATTTAGTCTAGTACTTTCACTATTTCACCAGATCTGGAACTTCCCCCAGTCCCGTGGTAATTCCCTAAGCTACCACACAAAATGCAGATCAACACGTGTACATACAATTGAACAGCAAGACATAATTGGTCAACCACCTCGTTTCAAACTACAGTTTATCCTATGAACCCAACCCGCTTTTCTGAGGAAATTCCGGAAGAATGGTTTTTAAATTCAGTTTCGTATTTCTACTCCATAGCCCATAAAAATTACATGTAGTAGGACACTAAAGAGTCATATATCAATAAAATAAACAAGGATACAAATTAACTCAAATTGCACACATTAAGTAATCTTGCAATATAATTATCTCTTATATACTTTGAAATCTTTCTCTATTTTACTTAATAATAATTATAATACTTAATCCGAAACTATCTTTTGCCACCTATGTGCTGGACAACCTTGAACTGCACGAGGAATGAGGATTCATCACAAGCTTCTCCGGATTAAAATTAGATTTCTTCTCCATCTTTTTTTTTTATCACAAATTTCAACTGAATTCAGAATTATGTCAGCCAGTGGGAAACGTATCGCTTTAGATCTATATGAAGCATGTACTGCAAAGAAGTTTTATTTTCTCTATAAGTATTATTTATGTTCATAACATTTTCTGATTCCCATCTGTTCTTCATGATCTCATTACATCAGGGAGGAAGATCTAAGGAACATAACACTGGGCGGCGGTGTGACGTCTATTTTGTAAATGACCGATTGACATTTTAAGGTAATCTATACCTCGAACATCTGTTTCCTAGTCATTTCGCCCCAGTCCGAGTAAAATGTATCACCAGTGTCATATTTCCGATATTCATACAATACTTTTGTGTTTTCATAGCCTAGTATTTCCCAGCTCTGCCGGTTTACTTATATGCGTGAATGTAACGGGTGTTGTTTATCTATCGAATTTATTGTTGCTACACGTTGCACTTTGTTGCAGATTAAGAGGGCTGGGTGTTTGTGGCCATTTTTAGACCATATTGAATTATTGATCTCCTTAAAAAGAAGAGCTCCATGTAAAGATATACAAAAATGATTAAATCTTAAAACTAAAATGTATGAATTTTTTCTTTCCTAAATGATAGTTGACAGCACAAGATATTATATCAAAAGAATCAAGTTATATCAGATCAGATCAGATCAGATATTGAATTTGTCCCCCTCCCTCCTCACCTCCTTAAGCTGATCGAACAACGGGTAAAAATCAAGGAATACATGAATTTGAGGAAATCCCCCAAACACCGAATTTTAAGTGTGACTTGGTTTTGAAAAAATCGTACAATTTTTACGCATTGACCTTTAATCTATCCCCTTACCTCATACTCCAACAATATTTCATCATTATTCAGATTATCTCGATGTGTACCATTTTATTGTTAGCATGATTATCCTACAAAACTTAAACTTCCGTGTATATTTAATTAGCAGCCCATTACACAGAATTACACGTCTCAAATTCATTCAGCTAATTTCCTAGAGGTTATTAAATCGTAAATGGTCTGGGCGCGTATTCTAGATTTCTCTCGTGCAGCACACCAGAATACCAACCCCCTGGGAACTGACTTGCCTAGACGTATAGAATATTCTAATAAAGAACCTTTAAGCTAACTCTTTTAGCGCGTTCGATTGAACTTCTCGAAGAACCCAACGGATTAGTGCGATATATGGTCACGAATTTCAACCCGCGATCGCCATCAAGAAACACGCGCACCATAATTTTGAGACAAAGTGGATTAAAATTAATGCTGTGTGGATGATTTCTTTGCCGTCGATTTCTGAGAGAAAGCTAGAGAATGCAGCCCAGTTGTTACTGAATAATGAAGCTAATTAAAACACAAAATCCATAAACTGCTCAGTGTATTAATTGTGCCAAGTTTGTTTTGGCTGTATCAAAAAAGGCTTCAACCCAAATACTGCTAGCATTGTTCTTTGTTCTTTTAAAAATAATGAAAACGTACTATGTGCTGCAGGGTTACACATCTGTTCATTCATAAATTTAAAATGAATGATTCATTTATTAAACTTACTTTACCGATGTTATACTTTCAACAATATTTATTCAGTAAACTGAATGTATTAATTGGATAATACCTGTAAATGCACTTCTCCAAAATCATACTTTCGGGTACTTGTATAGTTGAAAGATTTTTAAATTCGTAAAATTTACATAAAACTAAAACGCATTACAGTTTTTTTTTTCTTATTCAATCCTTTTCTTGATTGTCCTAGTGGTTTATTAAAGTTATCTATATATGTTACCTAGACACAGAACACAAACATAAACACTTTTATGCAGGTTTTTAATTTTTTGCTATGTTTATACGATTACAATCCATCTTTAATTTAACCTGCTGTTGTCTTTACATATCAAGAAAACCGGTAAGTGAGATAGAAAACAAAAAAGTCCTGGGCTATAAGGCTCACCTGTGGATATTCTCATTTCATCTGGCTTTGAGGGCCATGACCTGGCATGGTCAT